GCTGAAAATGTTATAAAGAAGTCATAATCCAACTGTCCAATACACCGCACTATTCCATCAAATACTATGCCACAACACGTAAATTCCAAACACATTAGGATAAACATTCTTCTTGTTACTGGTCTCCTGAAACATTCCAACCAATTTTGATTCTGCTCCTTTGTAGTTTTGGACTTTGATAACTTAAATTTTTCTATTATCCTCGGTGGTAATTTCTTTTTATTTGTTCGGCTTATAACAAGAATTTTCTCAGTAGCTTCATCCACGTATCCTTTAGTCAACAACCACCTCGGACTTTCTGGTAAAACGAATTTTGTGAATACTGCCAAACCTAAAGGCAAACTAGTTACTAATGAAATAGTTTTCCAGTGACCGCAAGCTAAAGCTATCCAAGGGAGCGTAGTGACAAACAGAGAAAAAAATACTGCAAACGAAAAATTTGCTACAAAGGTTCTATATTTTGGCGCTATGTATTCTAAAATGACGATGTACGGCATGGTCATGCAAGTATCATATGATATACCCATCACAAATCTCGCAGCAGTGAATTCTATGAAATTTCGTGCAAACGTGCTAGCAAAGCCACCTATACAGCCAACAAGGCAGCTACTTATAATGGCTGGGATCCTTCCAAAGCGATCAGCAACCCAACCTAAAATAATACCCCCAAGAATACTACCGACGAAAAACATAGACTGAGCGGTCGCCTGGTAACTATTTTTGTCACAAACCCATTCCATATCACTTCCTATGGTAGGATATGGTATTTCGGTTTTATTAAATTCCCATCCATGTTGACACGGTACTTTACTCCAATTCGAATTAGGCCTCTGTCCAGCTGCCAGTACCTCAGTCCAATTAACTGCATACATCTCACATTGTGAATAACCAAACCTTGAATTCACATCTTTAGGAATACCGAGATCTCTACGCGAAATATCAGTCATGTTTGCCAACTCTGGTATTCTGCACCAGTAGTTTGGTGATGTTTCTGTTATGAATATTTGTGAAAAGTATGAAAACGCTCCGAAAGCAAAGAAAGGACAAACGGCGAAGAATAATCTCCATTGATACCGTCCTAACTCGCCGGCTGATGTCAGTAGATCATCGTAATCAACTTCATCTTTCGCTTTATTCGTTTCCTTACTCGCTGTAGCAACCATTATAATCACGTTTATTTTAAAAGGTCTGACTTTGTTAAGATACCAAACAGTACTGGGTTAAAACACTCAACTCAACACTTTTTGAGCACTTCCTTATAAAATTAGAAAGATAGCGTATTGTAGTTCTTATAGTCTTACATACTTAATTGTATATACAATTGAAGTATAACATAGATATCAGCATGACGTATTTATTTACAGAAGGCTGCGAAAGAAATTTGTAAAGTTTTTAAAGTAATAATTTTTGTCATTATTTTAAACCTAAGTCAACACTCATTCAGTTGACTGACGTAACAAAGCTTAAGAACATTGACGGATTTACAATCACAATAAACTTTAATATCGATCATACATATTTATATAGCACTACTCCGTTACATACATACTTAAATACTACTATGTTCGTTCCTCAAGAATCAACGCAAGTATCTTCATGCCCAATTTAATTAAAATCAGTTCAGCGGTTTAGTCGTGAAAGCGTAACAATTACTTTCGTATTTATAATATTAGTAAAGATTATTTATTTAATGATGACATTAATAAGCACATATCACAGAATTATACTAGTTACTAGGAAGTATGGAGATAGGAAAGTAAAAAATATTTTTATCTACTTTTACTTGAATACAAAAAAAAAAGCTTAATTTAAAATAAGCATTTTTTTTATTTTTCTATGTTTATTCAACTAATTATTTAAATTTGGCTGAACCCTGCCACGCTTCGCTGTGACCCATTATGGTTGCATTGATACGAAATAGGGAATAAAAGCGTTATTTTATATCGTATCAAAATTTGACCTAATCGGTGCAGAACTTTTAGGTTACGTAACATACATCAGCGTACATAAATCAACTTAACCTATAGACCTTACCCTAGATATAACCCTGCCACGCTTCGCTATGGCACGTTCTGGTTGTATTGATAAGACATGATGAACAAAACTGACTAGATAAAAACAATCCTCGAAGTGGTTTGTATCTCGTGTCAAAATTTGAGCTCGATCGATGCAGAACTTTTTGAATTTTTTAAGCATACACAAACCAACTTAACATTTTTATGTATATATATAGATATATTATTAAAAATCAATTCATCGAAGAGGTTGATGGCAATAACATTTAACTTACGTTAAGTTTTTGATATACCTATTCAATAATTTGAAAAATTAAACACCATACGAGTACAAGAAATATGATCGATGATGATATGATCACATCATAATACTATATTTAAAAATATAATAGTTTTATGTGATATGTTTAGGTTAGCAATGAATTAGGTTTCTGGTCCGTTATGCCTGAATCTTAAAAGTCTTGCGAACCTGACCTGTTCCACCTATTGCAAACCACTCTTATAAGAATAATTACCTTCCTCCCATGTTTCTTCTTGCCAACTCAAAATTTTCCCTTCTTTAATTTCCAAGTGAATTGGGAATGAGAGATCAAATGTACAATATATAAAAGGCGTTTAATACGCTCATCTCTGCTCACCCTTTCCAAAATACAGGCGTCCTTATATGTGTGTGATAATCATTGTTTACAAGAATTACAATTACAAAATTAATAAATCTTTACGAAGATTTTCTTTTTACAATTGAGTATTTACATAACGATAAGGGTTTTAGTTGACGATTATCAACGTTACGTACTTTTTTTATTATACGATAAGACAGTAGACCTATACAATTTAAATACGCCTGCATCTTTATAACTGTGTTTAAGATTAGGTATTGTTCTAGTGTGTTAAATAAATTTAAATTTAGTAGAAATGTCAACAGGAGATACTGGAGAGCGGAGAGAAAGATATAATCGTCAGATAGAGAGTCTAGTATCACAGCCAAATATAGTCGGGGAAATAAAAGCTGCCCGACTTCGCTGGCTTGGCCGCATGGAAAGAAATTGAGAGGATCGAGCCAACATATCGGGCGGCGACCAGTGGCACGACCCAGATACCGGTGGAAAGATGAGGTTGCCAAAGATATTAAAGAGAGCAAAGTGCCCGATGGTCTGAACTGGCACAGAATAGATAAGAATGGCTGATTTTGATGTAGGAGGCCAAGTCACATTCTGGGTCGCTGATCCAGCGAAGTAAGTAAGTAAGAAGTGTCAGGTAATTCCAATATATCTAGAAACGTAGTCCTCTCGGACGTACCTTGCCTTAGGTACTTGCTGTTTAGTACTTTTCAATTGAAGTAGGGCGAGAGTGCGTGTAACTCTGCCGTCTCCTTCTGCGAGCAAGTTATGCTCGCGAAGGAGACGGCGGAGCGGGACCGGGAGAGGTTTAGGACTCTCCCGGCCCGCCAGGCCCGGGAACAGGCCAGGTACCGCAGGCGACTCAGGCGCCGGAGGTCGCAGAACGACCTCCGTCCTCCATAAGCACAGGCCTGGGGGTGACAGGTGAGGCCATCTGTCACCCTAGCAGAAGCAGGCCGGGGTGGCGGCGAGCGCGTTGCGAAGCGCGCTCGCCTCCAGGGAGCACAGGGAACATGGGGTTCCCACACGTGGGTGGGTGGGTGTCGTCTACTCGTCTGTAGATGACCCGAGGTATGTCGGGGCACCAGGGACTTCCTTTCTAGGGTATACCTGGTTCCCCGGCTATTAGTACCCGAGACGGCGTGCGGTTTTAGTCGGTTCGAGTGCGACATGCCACCGACAGGTGGTATCCGAGGGGATTTCCGCATGGACAAGTTCGACCAGAATGATATTCCGGCCTCACAGAAAACCGGTGTTATGCAAACGCGAAGCCTAACCAGCCGGCATCTCAATTCTAGAGGGAAGGGCACTAAATGCATTTGTATATCTTGAGTAGCAGGTTTCCTTGGACAGGCCGTGGCCTAGCAATAATGGGTTCATGTCTGGCTATAGTTTATCTATATTATGTATGTATTTGGAAATATATATGTATATTTAAATTGTTCGACCTCAACGACCTCACCTATGACTATGAGCAGCAACGTGTTTTATAGTTCTACAGAGTACCTAAAAATATGTCAAATGGTAGTAGTAACAAACTATTAAGAATGGATAAATTTGATTTAAATATTAAGTACACAAGCATATTTTCTTTTTCTACGATATACTCAGATCATATTACATCTACATAGATTGTTGTTTTTAAACTTTATTGCATAATAAGCGTAAACACACCTCCGACATTTGTTGTCTCGCTCTTCCGAAGCCCTGTAGACAATAAAGAAACTTGACATTAAAAAAAATTTGACTTCAAAAGTTAACTATCCACGTTCATTATTCTTATTCTGTATATACCTACTTGTGTTTTATTTTATTACCAACAGTTCTAGAGTTGAAGATGCACTAAATCCTATTAATCCTATCCTACTTCCTACTAATATTGTGAGTACGCACATTGTCAAAAAATATACCACCACCTCTGTCTGTTATATAAGTAGAAAGATTATAAAATAACGATTTAAAATAATGAATAGTCATTTATTTCTTAAAATTTACATTTTAACAAACAATAATAAAAATAATACTGGTCAACTTTAACATACAAAGGTCACAGGACAAAGATCTCTTTCCATCGATTTGCCAGTAGCTACGGGATGCAATTCAATTATTCAAATACCATGCGAGTCTACCAAATATAGTAAACTTTACTTTGCCTATTCAGCTGAATAGGTTATCCAAACAGGTAGGTTCTAAAATAATCTCATTATTAATTTTTACAGAAAGATTATTCATAATTCACTTTACAATTACGATATGCAACCCGAAAAAATAATGCTGCATATATGCTGGCAATTACCTAAATCTCAAAAATGAGAAGAGCAAACACTTCATGCTTCCACAAAACACTGCTACAACATTTTTAATATTATAATTCACATTCAAAACTTGGATTATTTTGTCCCACTACTTTATTGTTCTCCCTTCTAGCTTCTAAGAATGGTATAGAAAATAAACACTGATTTCTGGATAACTCATCTGCTTCTTCAAATGTATTTGGCATTGCTTTTAGTGCAGTTTCCGGTAGGGCGAAAGCGATTATCATTCCCAAAGCACATATAACACTAAAAATTGTCAATGGTAGCCAATAGTAAAATACCTGCAAGTACGCTATGTATGGTGATAAAAGCGTTGCAATATATCCACAAATATGTACCATGGCTATTCCAGATCCTCTTACTGAAGTTGGGAGAATCTCCGCACACCATTGCAGTGATACACTAAACCCTATGTTTATTCCAAATCTTGCTACAACAGCATATATCATACTATGCATCCCAGTAGTACTAAATATTATCAAAATACAAAATATGGTGCCTATACCCATAGACACTATACATAACCATCGTCTTCCTGTGTAATCCATCGCAAATGCTACGATTAGGACTGACGGTAATTCTGTAAAAGACATTGCTGAAAAAGTTATAAAGAAGTCATAATCCAACTGTCCAATACACCGCACTATTCCATCAAATACTATGACACAACACGTATATTCCAAACACATTAGGATAAACATTTTTCTTGTTCCTGGTCTCCTTAAACATTCCAACCAATTTTGATTCTGCTCCTTTGTGCTTTTGGACGTTGATAACTTAAATTTTTCTATTATCCCCGGTGGTAGTTTCTTTTTATTTGTTCGGCTAATGACAAGTATTTTCTGAGTAGCTTCATCCACGTAGCCTTTAGACAACAACCACCTCGGACTTTCTGGTAAAACGAATTTTGTGAATACTGCGAAACCTAAGGGCAAGCTAGTTGCTAATGAAATAATTTTCCAGTGGCCGCAAGCTAAAGCTATCCAAGGAAGCGTAGTGATAAATAGAGAAAAAAACACCGCAAACGAAAAATTTGCTACAAAGGTTCTATATTTTGGCGCTATATATTCTAAAATGACGAGGTACGGCATGGTTAAGCAAGTATCATATGATATACCCATTACAAATCTTGCAGCTGTGAATTCTATGAAATTTCGTGCAAACGTGCTAGCAACGCCACCTATACAGCCAACAAGGCAGCTGCTTATAATGGCTGGTATCCTTCCGAACCGATCAGCAACCCAACCTAAAATAATCCCGCCAAGAATACTACCGACGAAAAACATAGACTGAGCAGTCGCCTGGTAACTATTTTTGTCGCAAACCCATTCCATATCACTTCCTATGGTAGGATATGGTATTTCGGTTTTATTGAATTCCCATCCATGTTGACACGGCACTTTACTCCAATTTGAATTAGGCTCCTGTCCAGCTGCCAGCACCTCAGTCCAATTAACTGCATACATCTCACATTGTGAATACCCAAATCTTGAATTCACATCTTTAGGAATACCGAGATCTCTGCGCGAAATATCAGTCATGTTTGCCAACTCTGGTATTCTGCACCAGTAGTTTGGTGATGTTTCTGTTATGAATATTTGTGAAAAGTATGAAAACGCTCCGAAAGCGAAGAAAGGACAAACGGCGAAGAATAATCTCCATTGATACCATCCTAACTCGCCGGCTGATGTCAGTAGATCATCGTAATCAACTTCATCTTTTGATTTATTCGATTGGTTACTCACCGTAGCAACCATTATAATCCCGTTTATTCTAAAAGGTCTGACTTTGTTAAGATATCAAACCGTACTGAGTTAACAAATCGCATAACACTTTTTAAGCACTTTCTTGTTAAATTAAAAAGATAACACCTTGTAGTTCTTATAAAGTCTTATATACTTAATTTTATATACTATTGGAGTATAACATAGATATCAGCATGACGTATTTATTTACATAAGGCTGTGAGAGAAATTTGTAAAGTTTTTTTTTAATGTAATAGTTTTACGTCAGTCAACTGATTTGGAGGAAGGGAAGTGGAAATTAAAGATCAAATTATAGTTTTCACACAATACACAATACAGGCGTCGTTACATTTATGTAATAAACCCTATTTACAAAAAGTACAATCATAAAATTCATAAAGATTTACGCAGATTTCCTTTTTTCAATTGAGTTAAAAAGTATTTACATAAAGATAAGGTTTTTATTTGGCGATTATCAACGTTACGTTCTTTTTTAATGCGATAACAAACTTAAGACAGTAGACTTATACAATTTACACAAGCCTACATCTTAACAACTTTATTTAAGATTAATTATTATACTAGTGTAATAAATAAGAAATGTAAGAAAGAGAGAAAAGAAATATATATAATAAATCGAGAAATCGAGGATCAGAAATCATAACTCCTCCAGGTCCTCGTATAGGAGTGGAAGGAACGACTTAGACAACCAAGCGCCGGCCATCCCCGTTATTGCGGCAGTAAGACCCGTTATGGAGGATTAGCTCGACAGACATCATGGGACCCACTCATACCGGCTGACTCAAGTGATCACCGGGAAAAGATGCTTCGGAGATCACCTGTGTCTGATCCCTAAGGAGCCACCGTCTGAGTGTCACCACTGCGATGGCTAGACCGTTGATACGGCGCTCCAGACACTGATAGAATGTCCGGCTTCGGTTGAGCAGAGTCATGACCTCGTGGCGGCCATCGGAGTAAGAATTCTCTCGCTTAGTACCATGATTGCGGCCATGTTACGGAGCGAGAGTACGTGGAACTCCGCGGTCTCCTTCTGTGAGAAAGTTATGCTTACGGAAAAGACCGCAAAGCGGGACTAGGAGAGATTTAGAACTCTCGGTGTCCACCAGGCCCAGGAACAGGCCAGGTACCGCGGACGGCTCAAGCGCCGGAGGTCGCAGAACGACCTCCGTCCTCCATAAGCGGAGGCCTAGGGATCTCAGGTGAGGTCATCTGTGACCGTAGATGGCCTGGGGTACGTCGGGGTACCAGGGATTTAGTGTCTAAGGTACACCTGGTCCAACGGCTACTGGTACCTGAGACGGCGTGCGAATTTTAGTCGGTTCGAGTCCGACATTACCACCCACAGAATACAGTAATATTACCTAGATATTACCACCGGCGGGTGGTATCCGTGGTGGTGATTTAACCACAGAAAAAAAGGTCTCATCTACAAACATTGCAATTTTAGTCAGTCAGATAATGGAAAATATCAAAAGGTGAACACTACTGTTAATTATTCGCCATATCATTCGGAAAGGCACTTCGTGAGGAGTCTGTGCATGGTCAGCAAGGTATGTCAGTGTTTAGTGGCGCCATAATACGCTTATAGTTTATTCAATGTTGTCAACACATTCTTCTACAAAGTTTAACTAATGGTGAACTCTCAACTCATGCCTGTTCCTGTTGAAAGAGTTTGATAATGTTTCGTAGGGCGAGATGATCCTTTAGATGTTATATTTTAGAGTCTTTTTTATATTATTATAATATTGGTATTGTTATATTTTAATTACAATAAAACAATTAAATACGTCCTTATCATTTTATTCTCACAAGAAAAAACGTTAACGGATTTCTTAAAAATTACAATAACGAAAGAATTATTCACAGCTACTAAACACATAGCTGCATAATACGACATATTTACAGTTAAGCTCTTTGGCTTCTAATAAGAATTTACAAAAAAGAAATTAAAATCTTAATAAAATTGCGAATGCAAATAACGCAACATAACATAATTTAAAATTATTCATAAAATTTCAACAGAGGACTTAAATAAAATAATTATTATTACACTATACAAAGTGCCCAGTTTTTTTTTACAATCGTGTCGAATACTGTGTCGGTAAACGAATTATAATTGCTAAATTTACAAACAGAACTTAATTTTTCATTCATGAATATTTAATTTTTAAGTAACATTTACAAGACGATTACAAGAAATGTAAAGTAAAACGACATACATAATAATACAAAGCCCTCTTGAAGACAACTAAGCAAATTTTATTTTTATAATGCTTTAGAGGTATCCAATCCACGAAGTATGGTTCAGACGTAAACTTCACAATTAATAAAATAATCTAAGACGAAACGATTTAAAGGTAATCCAAGTCATAAGTCGACATAGGCAACATTGTTTGAAAAATAATGTTGTGTCAAAAAATGGAATACGTTTATTTTTAATTCTATGGTTTAAGACTCAGATTAGTATTCACATCACTTTTGCAACTAGTGCATGCGATACACCATCCATCGTAAGTGTAGTTAAGCCTTTCTTCAATATGTCCCAAACCTTGGACTGGATACTACACAGCTGTACAACTTCTAATCACTCAAACTGCTAGAAAACATTCGTGAACTCACATCGCACACCGGTTTAGACTAATGATTTTTACCCTAATTAGCATCTCTTTTTATGCCTGTATCTTATTTTCCATACAACCGTGATACTTTCAGTTTAAAAAAATAATATTAAGTCTGTTATTGTAGTTAGTGAATGTAGATAGGTAAATAATAAAAAAAAATGATGAATCAAATATTTCTTTAGGTTTGGAAAGATATTAGGCACAATGCAAGTCCACTTTTAATCCCAAAACGAAATCGTCACTTTACTACTTACAACGGCAATTTAAGAACTGAAAGCACAAACATCTACAGGATTAATCCTAAAACGCGATATTAAAATGAAGTATTTTACAAATTGGAAACCAGATTATAGTCCAGGAGCTTTCTGCAGATTGTAAAATATTTTTTGTTGGCGGTAGCTCCCGGTCTATAGTCACGAAGCGTACTACCTAGGTAGGCACAGAAGGATCAGTACATTTGGTTTAAAGGGAGACCTTAAGTATATCACATCGACTATTTTACCCCTTGGTGTGGTAATATATTACAATTGGAATGTTGTTCACCGTGATTTTTTAATTTTAAAGAAGATATTTTTTGATAACTCCTGCCTTATTATTTATATAAGTAGATGACCAGTATTGTCTATCTACTTATAAGAAATATTTAGTCAAAAAATGTATAAAAAATGATGACTTAATATCACAAATAGATACATTAATCTGAGACTAACCTAAAAGTCAATAAGTATAAATATTCCATAAAAATAAAGTGAAGTCCACATGAAACCATATAAACAATGTCCAATTAAAGAGTTTCTTTCTTTTCATAATCTTCAAAATACATTCTTGAACGAAACATAATCTAAACATATATATATATATATATGTATACCAATCACACAAAGAGCTCAAATTCTATTATAGAAAGTTCGCACAGCACGTAAACGCAACAGATCGTTATGGCCTATATATTTTGTATCGACCAGATCTAAATTATTTAAATTAAATACAGCTATGCTGTTAATTAAAAACATCATGTAATGTTTTGTATTGCGAATGAAATAAAGCCATATACAAGAAGCAGTTAATATTAAACGTAAAAATATTCAACTTTAAATGTTACGAATAGGCGGATTCCGCGATACGCTCGACCTCTTTCTTATGTCACTCAGATATACACAACTAAACAATTATTAACATCTTAACATTGAAAATTAGAAGCTTGTTAAAAATCACGGATCTCACAACCAAGGGCTTTAGGGTAAAGCATGAGAAATTACCACTAAATTATCCTATACCCTACAATAGCATTGAGCTGAGATCTCGCTTCTAAACGATTAATTAATTACATCTATTCTAAAGTGTGTCTTTTAATGGAAACTGTTCTGGTGAATAAGTACCGGTTGAAATTTTAACACGGGAGGTTATTTTCGTTACCTCAGAAACGTCACTGTTCTGTTGTCAAATATCAAGGAAATAAAAACTATGCTAAACTGAACTTGAATACTTTGACACGTGACAGTTAAAAATTTTTTTGACGAAGAACCTAAACCCTTTGTTTACCCGCTGTTTCTATTTAATGACTCTGATTGCCTGAGTTTATACAATTTTCTTGTCATTCATTTATATTATTTATAGCTTCAGTTCCAAAACTGCACCTTTGGTATTTCATCATATTCCTCAATATTTCCCAGTTATGTAGATATATTTGTTACATTTATCACCAATAATTAACAGTCCCTCGATAAACGAACTGTGAAATCCAAGTGCGTATACGTACAGACAAACGTGTCTTAATATCAAGATTTTACTCAACATGTTCGAAAAAGTATTAATGACATTTAACATTGTTCCACGGTCAATTTAGTAAGTACCTACAAATGACCTGAAGAAATATTTAAAATTGAGTTATACAGTATTTTCTTTGCTAACATAGTACTAAACTTCGTGTCACGTAGACTAGTTTTCCTAAACAATTGTTTGACTTAACATTAGAGACAATTTAATATTACTTTACGGGTAGCACACGAACGGGTTTAATGCCGCGATTGAAAACTAAACGATTATAAGTAACTTTATTATATTAACGACTACTTATTTCGCTTGAGTTAGAATTGGTTTGGTTGAAAGAAGAAAAAGTTGTTGAAAAAGAATTGGTTGGAAATTTTATAATGAGGTGGATAAGTAAAGGGTGTCTCAGTAAGAGTGCACTTTTTAAATATATAAACTTCTTTTTGTACAAGTGGCAACTCTGAAATATGACAGCTGTCACCTATGTTTATTCCGATTATTAAAAATGGAGCGCTTTTCTAAAGAACAACGCGTTATAATCGTGAAAACTCATTACGAAAATGGGGAAAGTTACGCTGAAACCGCTCGCAAACTGCCAAATTTTCAGTCGAGAAAGTGCACCTAATGTGTCAACCATTCGAAGCATATAATGGAAAGCGCCGGCAATTCGTTTAATGGGGTAATGGAACAACTGAAGTCGATGCCAATTTTTCTAAAAAAGACATCTTCTCCGATGAAGCGCATTTCTATCTGAATGGCTACGTGAATACATAAAATTGACGAATTTGGGGCTCAGAAAATCCTCATGCAATCCAAGAGAAACATATGCACCCACAACGAGCAACTGTCTGGTTCGGATTTTTTGTCAGGCGCCGTGATTAGGCCTTACTTTTTCAAGAAGAGGCCGAAATTGCAATGACTGTGAACGGCATTCGTTACAGAAATATGATAACGGAGTTCTTGTAGCCTGGACGGCATGGATCTGACAAGATGTGGTATCGGCAGGACGGCGCCACCTGCCACACCGCGCATGAAACAGTCAACTTATTGCAGCAACGATTTCCAGAACATATTATCACACGAAATTCTGATGACAACTGGCCACCAAGAGCGTGCGATTTTTTTCTTTGTGGTTTTGTGAAATCTCGGGTTTATGCGAATAAACCAGAAACAATTCCTGAGCTCAAATCAGAGATCCAACGCTTCATCGGTGAGATACAGCCACATCTCTGTGTAAAAATTTCATGGAAAATTTCATGAAAGAGTAATGGCCTGTCATCGTCGCCGGGGGGGGGGGGGGGGGGGGGGGGCATTTGCCTGATATTTTATTCCATACTTAATCTAAACATGTCTTCTTTACAATCCAATAAAAATATCAAATCTAAAATACGTGTTTTTATTTTAAAATGAAAAAGTGCACTCTTACTAAGACATCCTTTATATGCTGTAGGACATCGGGTCAATTTCTCTAATATCCGTAGGTTCTAAAATGCAATTGTTACCTATTATATGCCACTAGACGAAAATATTTGAACTAATTTAACATCGGATATGTAATACTTAAAACATAATATTGTAAAGAACGTATTTTGCATTTAAACTACGATCTGTGAAGATTTTTTAATAATCAAATGACGCATTTGTAATACGTTAAAATTGCCTAATTTAATTAACTTTTAAATTGACAAAAACACATAAATTCAAGTAGTTTATGACATCTTTTAAGTATGACGATACCGTTATGTCAACTGTACCTTCAGTCGAATAAAAATATGTTTATAATTCACATTAGTACTAAGTAATATACTTATGATTATACAAAAATTGTGAAGCATTGTTTTGTAGAGTATAATTATATAAAAATCACATAAACAGTCCCTGCCATATTGTTTTATTTTGATAAGCTTTAAAGATATTCATTAATATGTATTTTATTTTCATTTGACTAAACTATATATATTTTTATAATTTATAAATATTTTATTTAATATATTAATAAATTGACTTGAACTAATTTTGAAACCATCAAAAAATAATTTGTCGAAACCAATAATACAATATAAAAACACATTATTAGTCACCGGGATTATAAGTAGTAATGTTTCGGTGGTATTAGTACAGCTGCCATTTTTTCTGTATATTAAGCATAACTCTACAAAACTGTGCTTCACACGAATATTAAGTATAATTTATACCTGCATGGTAACAAACTTTCAGTCACAGTATCAACATTTAACTTCAAAACCGACATTTAGAAATTTAGAAAAAAATTACACTACACTTCCGCATTTCCCATTCGTTAACGACAGATTAGGACCTAGAGACGGTCTGCCCAATGTGCCGTGGGGGAAATTCGCCACGCTCACGTTGTGAGAGTCGAACCCGTTCATATATTGGTTGTTCTGCAGGCCGATGAGAAGCTCCACTAACGCCTTGCTCGCACTCTGAGCGTTCAACAGCTCAAAAATAATGCAGTTGCACTCGGGCTCCGGATTTTTTAACGAGCTTTTAGTGCTGGAATTGGAACTCGTGGAATTAGTTCCGGAGCTACCGGTGGAGCTCGCGGGGGGATTAGGGTGTAGGGGGCACGAGATTTGAAGGTTCTTAGGGTACTGCGTGGGGATCCCGGAGAGGTGGTTGGCCGCGGCTCGCGCGTAGAAAACGCAGGTGTGACCGTCGGCGTCGGGGTAGTTGGGATTGCCGTTGTGCTGTAAGCGTAAAAAACAAAAGTTATTTTATATATATACTCCTCGACCAAGCGTTTTAGACCAACGCGTGGAATGCGGCCTCCCCGCCCGCACCTCGCTGCAGGTACCGCGATGGTCTTAGTACCGTCCGCAAGGTTGCCACCGCTAGCACGTGTTTGTTTTTTTTTCTCTTAGCTTTCATTCGTATGTTGTTAAGTTTGTTCTAATTCGTTAAATTTTTGTTACTTATTAAAACTGTTAGTATTTTGTTGTGTGGAAAATGGGGAAAAATAATAAACAATACATAGTAGACAGTAATAAAAAATATTAAGAGTCCTGAATTTCAGCAGTCCTTACCCTGTCGAATGACGTATTTATAATATCATTCACATTTTTGTATACAACACTACGCTCTGATAATGATGATTGACACTGAGCCATCTAATCCCAAACTAAGCTGACCTGTTACTAGACAACAGATAAACATACTTATATACTTTTGATATATAGATATATACGAGTACTTTATTATAATACATAGAAACACCCGGACCCGTAATAATTAAATATCTGTAGATAACGCATTTAACTAATTTTTGTAAAAATATTTTCTCGCGTAACATTCTAATTATTTATACCAAATGCTTATAAAGATTAGCGCTCACTTGGAACATTAGTCGAACTAATAATAAACAAAGCATAATACTTAATACGCGCGCTCAATACTTTGGGTAATTTTATATAGGAAAAAATAACACCTATCGATCATTCGGATTCTTCTGCTATCCGTACCCGAAGTCAACGACGTCACGTTCGACAGTCGTCTAGTTCGTTCGTTCGACTAGTACATATTAGAATATAGGCAGAATAAAGAGCCGCATATTAAAACAAAATACGGTCGGCCCGGTTTTCGTTTTAATATGTGGAGTACGAGGGAACGAACAGGGAAACGGGGAACGATAGAGAAGAAAGGAAGAAGCCAGTGCGAGGCACTCACCCATATGAGCAGCTGCGCGGCGGCGAGCTGTCCGGCGGCGGCGGAGGCGCGCAGCGCGAGCGCGCGGTCGTGCGGCGCGGGCAGCAGCGGCGCGGGCGCGGCCAGGGCGCGCGCCAGCGCCGCCAGCGCGCCGCGCGACGCCGCCGTGCGCAGCGCCTCCAGCCCCGCCGCCACCGCCGCGCCGCACACGAACGCTCGCCGCTCGTACTTCGACCGGATCCACCTGTCGACGGCGTGTTCATTAACGAGACGGTCGCAGGGAGACGAACGCACGGTGCTAGATATCGAACGTATTTCGTTTAACTGACTGAAGTGACGATGGTGCGCCTTCCTAAGAGAAGAAGACCCGAAACGACTCGCCACGAACTTCAGCGAAACTATACATCAGTAGCGAAATCGTATATAAATATACAAAGAGAAAATTCAGTTTGAGAAAATTCAATTCCAAACTCAAATGTATAAATCTGTGGCTCCTGCGATGAGTGATTTAAGTCGAGTTGTAGGGTACAACTCGATGTATGATTTTACATAGAAATATTCAGAAAAAGAAAAGATTTTTCCTGTCTATCTCGCGTTATTTTACCTACTATATTTTCGTAGATAATTCTGTACAAATTAATATAACCCCCAGGCTTTTTGCAGAAATATCGTGAATGTCGATTTGATTGATTTATTTCAAGGTATTAGAACTTGAAATAAATCTATGAATAAATAAATATCTCTATAAATAATTGCTGCACACATAATTTTTCTTGCTTCATGGTATAAGTGGGATTATATTAATTTTCACATTTCACTTTTCAGTAAATTATGATATAATTAGACTCATATCACTTTGACCAGATCCGAATCAAAATTTCTAAATAACAATCCAAATCTTTAAAGACTAAGATTTTAGCAATGTGAAGTATAGCTTTTAGCCTGTAGTGTGGTGACGGATTAAGAATACGGAGTTTCACTACCCCTATTTATCCAGTGAGTTTCGTAAGAGTCGACTAAGGGAGCAAAGGGGAAAGAAAACTTAAAAAAAGCCCTATACCAACCCGTCTGGCCAGCGTGGTATAGTAGGCCAAAACCTCCTTTCTAAGGAGTCCTATGTCCAGCAGTGGACTATTTAAGGCTGACGATGATGTGATGAAGATTTAAGCAAACTGATACAATTCAGCAAAATTATGAAAACAGGGGATTGATAAGTACAACAATCTCAGTTTTAGGGTAATATTTTTATCATTTCTTAAAGCAACTGAGCAAATAAACATATTCTAATGAGTTATTAGATATTTGTACAAAATTTGATGTATATCAATTTACATGTAGACAGCTTATAGGTGCAACATAATTTAACTAGACTTGTATGATTTATCACGTAATTCTAGCATGTATTAAAAATGAAAAACACAAAACTTTCAAAGTACAGTGAAAGTGAATATATTTATCTACTAAGGAAGGTACTCAAATTTAACCTAGCCCACATCTTGTTTTTGTTGTCCTGTAAAGTGTTGATGTTTTTACTTGTATCATTTTTTACAGGAGGCACAGAAATATCTATGCATTGTTTTAATTTTTTAATAAATATAGGCAAACAACGATCAATATATTAGGTCCTTACATTTAAAATTAGCGTTTTGTCGTACTGACACACACTTTGATCTGAAATATCTCCTCTTTGGTTAAGCTTACACACAGAGGTTTTATTTTTACGGTGACTGTCAAATTTAATGCCCGGCGGTGATCTGAGGTTACCTTTTAAAAGTAGCTGGAAGGTTTTGTTGTGTGCAAAAGTTAAGCGATTACTTTCATCCCAATAATAATAAGCTAATCTCTCAAGCCCGCCCTAGTATCAAATTCCACCAGTACATATTTATTTATTTATTTACAAAAGGTACAGTTACAGAATACAAACCAGGTAGTGCTTAAACTTACTTATAAATATTCATAACATTTTTTTATCTGCACTCCAATTACTACCGTACACAGCTTTCGGGATTTATACAGCTTCAGAGTACGTGGAAAAATTCCATAAATCTGCCGTGACTACCAACAAATATATCAACATCAGAACAAATATCACCAACAAATATATCAACATCAGAACAAATATCATTATATTGTCTACACATTCGAAACAGTGGACTATTTTGAGACACATTATTGTTGAGTAAAAGTACATCAAAGTACATCCGGATGGTATTGGTATCGCAAGAAAATCGTCGAAGCCGATATTCCACAAGTATGGACCTAGCACTGATCCCTGAGGACATCCCATTGTAAGCGCCTTCGACACAGAATGATGACCAAGTCTTAGTTTACTTGTACCTTGTGAAAAGTACGAAGAGATAAGGGAATTAATATTTTTAAAGCACCCTCGTGACTTTAATTTCAGCAACAGCATGGGTCACCATGTTTTGTTGAAGGCGCCAGATATATCTAAGAAAATAGCCAACACGTATTGAAATTTTGACTCTGTAACAAACTTCCTAACCGATATAACCGCATCAATTGTCGATTTCCCCAACGTAAATCCAAATTGTCTATCATGAAATCTGACTACACCTGGCAGAAGCCGGGGCACTACAAGACGTTCTAAAGGCATTCCTAACGATGGTAACAAATTGATTGGCCCGTAGGATTTAGGTCCATCCGGCGGCTGGTCGAGGAAATATTCCTTCCGTAATGCAACGTTTAAAAGCAGTCAAAATCGTGTCATCCGAAAGTTAACTTCTTTTATCATTTTGTTTGATATTTTATCATCGCCCTAAGCCCTGTTTAGCGGCAAGGATCTAACGATACTGAGAAATTCGTTTGAAGATAGTAAGTCAGACATTAGAGACAACAGTGGCTCGATTCCCACTGCCTGATCTGTCGGTGAATTTTCCGGTCGATCGTCACGAGTGATTCTAAAAGATATTTTGCTGTTTGTTCTACTCCTGTGGTATTCCTCTTCATAATTACAATTTATCCATAAAAAATGACCTCACCTTTCTTTCTCCTCCCGAGTATTGGTAGCAATTGGTTTTACATGTCCTCTTATATCCGCTTCCCATATCGAATTAGCGAGGTCGTTTCCAAGCGAAACCATTACACTCACATGGCTTAATCTGAAATTTAAAATAATAACTCACTCGCCTGAACCAATATATTTACCAGAAACGAAAACAACGTAGTACTAAGGATTACTTGGTATTGTGCGAATAACTTAAAAAAATTATACATGCTATTGAATTCACAATAATCCATAAACCGTAAATATATATATATTAGACTTGCAACGAATATTCGGTTACTATTCGGTATTCGGCCTATTCGGCTGCTTTTATTATATTCGGCCGAATACCGAATATCTACATATTATTCGGCCGAATACCGAATACTTATATAATATATTTTTTCATTGAGAAATAATTGGTAAAATGAAAAATTAAAATCGATTGATTACGTATATATTCATATTTTCATTTCTGTTATAATCATTTAAGTAGTAATTGGTGCATAACACAGGTACATAATCATCTTCTGAATTGGAAAAATGGAGGATTCTATGTATTTGAATTATTGTGGTAATCAAAATTTAGAAGGGTAAGGTTCTCATTTCTTTTATAATCATTTATTAAGTAGTCATTGGTACATAAAACAGGTACATAATTTAATTCACGTCTGTACAAGTTTTTGGCGCTAAAATCCAGCCGAATACTTTTTCCTAATATTCGGCTATTCGGTCAGGGGCCTCGCCGAATATTCGGTATTCGGTATACTGCCGAATATACTATTCGTTGCAAGTCTAATATATATATATATATATATCTCGTAAAATCAAATATTTTTTAAATCAATAATTAGTTCCATAGACCGTCGTAACGTTTAATATTGGCAGCTCAATATAGTTAAGTAATATGATCTATATACTCACGGCCACTCGTCAAGATCGAGCGAGCGTACTCGCGATATGTGAGATCCGAGATTCCTGTGGATGCCCGAACATTCGATGCATATTAATACGCCTAGGTTTAAACTCGCCCAGTCAGGATCTGAAATAGAGTATTTAAATAAATATAATAAAAATACTGTTAGTCTATACAGAAAACGTAGGATTTAAAAAAAGTTTGTTTGGAAGGCAAGATGAATGAAGCAAAGTCTTATGTTACCTGCAGCGCCACAATCGCAACACTTGTCGTTCCCATTGACCCTGCGGATGTAGTACGTGGCGCGGACATCGCCCGTTGAATTAGCACCTGTCGGGAGCGGCAGACGGGACGTCTGGACAAATAACAATTTACAGTTAGTTGTATAATGCAACTGGGCCATGAACTGACAATTAAAACCTTTGGAAACCTTATTTACGTTATAGAAACAAATGTATATAATGTTTTTTTGTGTCCGTTTCATGAATATTTGTAAAGTTGCCTGCGACACAGAATATATTCTTAATGCGAGAGATGTCTTAAAAAAATAATTGTGCTATAGATGTTTATGAGTGACGTGTGTGTGTGGATGTGCCTCGACCGAGGCAAGCGCGCGGCGCCGCGGGCGAACAACCCGAGTCACCGGTCTTTGTTTTACTCAAAGGCGCCTCGGTCGTTTGCCGCGCGCACTCTGGACGTTCGGTGTTTTGTTTCGCATATCAATCTTTGATATACGAGTAGATTGTTTTGAAATGCGAAATAGATACTGAATGATGTCTTAACTCTCAACTAAACGAAAAAAATAACTCGGGCTTGCCGCGCGCAGCAGCCTCGATATCATAGCGAGGCTGTCGCCCGCAGTTACAATCGGGCACAGTTGCGCCTCGCAAGGCTGCTCACTCTGTGTGAACGTGTTTGGCGTAGTGAAAAGGTGTTGTGCAAGAATTGAAATCGTTATTGATATAGGTGCGTTTACGGCCTAGGGTCTGTGGTAACCAGTATGTTTTCAAACTAAACTTAAAGTTTTGTATAGAAAATACTAATAGTAGTGGACCGGAGACGTACAACAATACCTTGTGGGACTTTTGAAGTCAAAGAAAGAATGTAAAAAAAAAAGGAAGAATCAATGAATTTACGATATTCGGTGACTAATCAGGGTCTTAATTATGCTATTTTAGTATTTTCTCAATAGACTATCGATGTACTGTCGTCGGAATAGTTTCGCATTTTTCTTATTCTACTATTGCCACTGATACCAATGTCGTCGATGTCTTTGTAATAGCTTGGTAAACGGTACATTTTGAATTTGTAAGGAAATGATATATTTAATTTTCCAGATATGGCAATGTTGTTGACATCCACCATTGTCACTTGATCGACAGTATATTGCGGCTGAATTTATATTAGTAGAATACCGGTATTTTGACCGATGTCAATGGCATCTCAATAGCGTGTCAATGGAATGACAGTGACTTGTACGTAAATAGCAGAATCGAGGCCCAGGTCGGTATCGAGTGGCTACGGAAGTTCACTGGCTGATATGTGCAATAGCGAGCGGTGCGTACCCGTCCCTGCAGCGAGGCGAGGATCTGAGCCTCGACGGCGGCGACCCAGGCGTCGCGCTCGGCGGCGGCGGCGCCCGCGCCCCCCGCCGCGCCGCACACCTCCCAGCGCCAGCGCTTGCCGTCCAGGCTCACTATCGTGAACTCACACGACGTCGCGTATTCACCGTCTGCAATATATATCATATTATTCGCATATCATGCCCGCAGCTCGAGGCAAACATAAATATGTTAGTAGTGTTACAAATTAGTTTTCTTTTCCTACATATTTATCCTTTAAACCAGCATTCTTCAGCGTTCCCTAGTGGATTTTGGTTTCCGTGGCGTCGTCGCATGTCTCTTCACTTCAGCATACATTAATTAAAACTAGACTTGCAACGAATAGTATATTCGGCAGTATACCGAATACCGAATATTCCGAGCCGAATATTAGGCAAAAGTATTCGGCTGGATTTTAGCGCCAAAAACTTGTACAGACGTGAATTAAATTATGTACCTGTTTTATGTACCAATGACTACTTAATAAATGATTATAAAAGAAATGAGAGCCTTACCCTTCTAAATTTTGATTACCACAATAATTCAAATACATAGAATCCTCCATTTTTACAATTCAGAAGATGATTATGTACCTGTGTTATGCACCAATGACTACTTAAATGATTATAACAGAAATAAAAATATGAATATATACGTAATCAATCGTTTTTAATTTTTCATTTTACCAATTATTTCTCAATGACAAAATATATTATTTAAGTATTCGGTATTCGGCCGAATAATATGTAGATATTCGGTATTCGGCCGAATATAATAAAAGCAGCCGAATAGGCCGAATACCGAATAGTAGTCACAAGTCTAATTAAAACCGAATCCATTTCGGCTTAGAATTTCCAGAATTACCACATTTAATTTTCATTAAAAAAAATAGGTTTCTTAAAACTCATTTTTTTTATTGATTTAGATGTCATTCATTATTATTCTAATATCTATTTTTCTATAATATATGAAATTTTATAGATTTCTATAATTTCAGTTACAGATACAACTAAAATAACTTAAGCTTAAAGTTATAATAAATGCAAGAGTCACGTACCTTCATCCCCATCTTTCTTCACACCGCTACTCTTCATCCGTCGATGTCGTTTCTTAACGTGCGGCGTGTCCTTATCTTGTCCGTTAGTAGAACCGACTTCCACCTCCGATCCTAGAGACTGTCGACTCGAAGCCGGCTCCTTCATTGTCTCAAACGCTGACAGTAGTGCTTTGTCTGTCGCGCTGCGTGGTTTCTCTTTGTATCCTGAACCAAGAACTATACTTAATAGGTATAAATTTATAGAAAGATGTAGAGACACTGTGACTGGGCATTCAATGACAGGTGGAAGGAAAGAAATCTAACGTCACAACAGACGCACGAAGTCAAAAGCAAAGATACCATTGTCAATAACATGTAACTACATATATTTCTAGATAATACTCGTAGTAAAAAAAATAAAGTTTAGTAATGTCCTATTAAAGTTTATGTTTAAAGTCATCATACGGATGTAAATATTACTATGATAACAAAAAATACTTTCCTGGTTATTGGATACAAAAGCTCAGTTCACATACAATGATTATGGGTATCTTATAATAGATCATTACAAACGCAGAATATATCAAAAACCGGTTCAACTGAAACTGATAATATATTTTTAAGCGCATTTCGCCAAGATCAACATAACAGGTATCTGAAATATCTAACTAACGAAAAAACATGGAATAAAGTAATTTTCAGTACCTTAAAATGTCTAATAAGTTATTCCAAGGTAACGTAGAATTAATAATATGAATTGAGAGTAAGTACATTTTATTGATTTTTTTTCTGGAATTTACGTTGGGGCAAACTATATTAAAGGGAAAAAATAAGAAAACATTGATATTGTTTTATCATGGGTGATACAAAATCACAACATGTATGTTTTAGGAATTTTACACAGGTTTTTTTGTATCTGGGTATCGGCATACCATAAGCATCTATAGTTGTGGATCTGCTGTAGAGCCGACTGATGCGCAAGCGCGGTAGCGGTGAAGTAGCTAAGAAGTGTTTGCGAAAATGTAGAAGTAAATAAATCTTCATTTAAATTAGGTTTATAAATACAGATTGCACGAAAGTGACCCAAATAATTTGGGTTTCATTACTCTGTTAAATGATTTCTTAAGAAAATTGACGATCGCGAATTTTAAAAGTAGCTACATTAATGACAATTAAAATTATACTACATTAACTGGAACAAAGTTGCTGAAGAACTATGTAACGACAATAAATTTTAATCATACCTACATGTCTATGAAACTATACTTGATCCGTTAGCTTTTTTTTTACTGGTTGTTTTTTTTACAAACCATCAAGCAAAATATATATGTAGATTACTGTTTTTTTATTTAGTTGACTATTAAGTTATACCATTTGTATACACTATCAAACCACACATTTAGTATTTTTATAAATAAATAATTTATTATTGCAAAAACAGTTCTATTATCGGTAAAGAATAAACATTTGTTTTGGTGACAAAAATTCTTATGTTTATTCTTTGTGTGAAATCTTATCATGTGAATCGATTTTTCATGAACAGTAAACAAATCTTTTCTAAATTTACGAATAGTGGCATTTGCAACAAATATAATCCAAATAGTAAAATACTAATACAACCTTAGAATGATCGATAAATAAATGATAGTCACTAGATTAAACTCTTCAGTTCTTAGTAACATTGGTGTACACTTCTTAATATTTTATACGCGTTTAATACGTTGTACTATTAAACGCGTAGAAAATATTCATTCAACGAATTCAGAATTTTAGCTAAAATGATCATTCACATTTTTGAAATCGATTAACAACCTTTTAAAATAAATGGGTCATTAGTTTTAGTTTCTTTTCGTGACAGAATGGACTCGGGCATTATTAATTGAACTGACAAAGAGAAGGCAAAAGAATGGACAGAGTTAGATTACTTATAATGTAAGTTTGTTTAGTCACGTAGGTAAATATGTAATAGTATATTATAAGTTTAACGTTCATCGATACAGTTTTTATTGTTTTACTTACCAATTGTTAGTCCACCAATACTATCGTGTATGTCCAAGCTGCTGTATCCGTTGTACCCTGGTACCGTCGTAATTATAGATTTAGAACCGCGCGGTTTCTGGCCAGGCACTTTCACTGTTACGTACTGAAGAGAAATTTCCTTGCCGTTAACATCTTCCATGTAATCCTGAAAATTGTAAATAACCTTCGTTATACCGAGATATTAAAAATAAAGTATTCAACTACATGAGAAATAACTGCGTGTACTCCTACTAAGCTAACTTATTCTGCAGAACAGCAGAAGCGCAAAATGATCTCTGATCCATGAGCAATGGCCGGGCGGACCAGGTAGTACAGAAGCCAAAGTAGGCTTGACGTGGCGCGCTTCTCTGACGGAAGGCTGGAAACACCTCCAGCACCAAATTCTGCCGAGTTGCCCGAGAATGTTCGTTGTGAAAGTTTGTTATTTTATAATGTTAAACCTTTATTATTTTTGTGCCAGTCTAGGCACAATATCTATTAAAATTTAGTAGTACCTTTACAGGCAACTAAGAAAATAAAATAATAATTTGTTCAACACAAGAAAACTAAAAAAAAACACTTACATGTAAACTCGGATGATAAGTCAACCTGCCGTCATCGCACAGCGTCACATATTTCTTCTTCCACTCTTTATTCAGAGCTTTACTGCTCTTTTTGTACAAATATCCTTGCTTTAAAGGAATCGCCCTTCCGGAACCGAGCTCTCCATTCTTAAACCTGTCATCTCCCTTTTTGGAAGGAGTGAAAAGATTCGATCTCCTTCTCGACTTTCTCGATGTCGTAGGAGTAGAAGACGGAGTAGGTAAATCCTTTGAATCTTTGACTTGAAGATTATCTAAGCAGTGTGGAGCTGTGAATTTGACGTTGTTGTTTTCTGTCGCTATGGAGACGAGTCCTGATGAAGATCCATGGCTTCCGAGGGAGTTGCCCCATCGTGATGACGTGTCAGACCCATTAGTGCTGTGGATTTCTACGACGTGGGTGGAGGAGATTCCGCTGCTGTTCGACGAAGCATCGAAAGATTGAGCGCCTCTGTGCAAGTGGTGGGACGACGCCGACAATGTGTGATGGCCCCGTGGCAGAGAATCCTGGAACAATTGACATAAAGAGTAAGTCATTGCAGCATTCTTAAATTCTATTTATATTACTACAGATGCTTAATTAACACCGTTTCCCCTTGTGTTAACATAATATTTGATCGCGTGTTAGTTGGCCCTTCAAACCAAAGTATTTTCAACTACGTCACATAGGCATTAAACTGGACTGCTAATGGATACAAACGCTTCGCGCTAGTAATGACGAGACGTGAAAAATGTATGCTAAATGAGTTCCTTACAAAATAACAAAATACTAATATCCAGTAGATTATCTTATGCTAAAAGGGACATGAATAGAAATCCATAAAACTCGAATTAGGAAAACCGTAACAATGGTTCTCGAAGGTCAGTCAACGTATTTAATACATTATTGACACGCAACGGACTCACTAACGTACAACGTCTTGGCCTTTCTTGTTGCGGAAAATTGGTTAAATATGCTTGCAGGCTAACTGTACTGTTATGGTGTGTTTTATAGTAAGTTACGAAATATTAAGTTATAAAAATAACCGGGGCTGCCCAAACCACGTTTTACAAAGGTATTATACAAAAATAGTATATTTGAGTTACTAGCTGAACCCTACCACGCTTCGCTGTGACACATTCTGGTTGCAGCTATAAACTGCATCTTTTGTTGGAAGAACATGAAATGTTACAGATATTTTGTACGTACGTGCAAATATACATAAAAAATGGTCTCATTTTTTATGTATATTTGTATGTAAAAAAAACACACTGCTACTACTCTTGATAATATAATGAAATTTGGAACAATTAAAACTTAAAGTATATACAAAAAATAAAATATGTATTTACACAGAAGTACAAGTATTTTTCAACAATATGTGTTACATTTTAAAAATTACCTGATAACTCAATTTAGCACGCATCTAGTATAATGTTAATCTTTTTTTTTAGCGTCGGGAATGCTTTTTGCACCATACCCTCCGTGGGGGAAACGCAGGACATGTGTGGGACTCCCGGAGAGCCGGTCTACCATCTAAACCATCTAAATGAGGAACTCCAGGAACGCATCGGCGGCTTCTAGGGCCTCCCTGCCGTACCCCACGATTGAGGCACATCCCAGGGTTACCATGATCACCCTAAGGCGGGATGCTGCCGCGCCCGTCACCGCTCTACACAGTAAGGAGCGCAACAGCGCCCGGCCTTAGACGACACCCCCCCGGCCGCACCGGAATGTCACCTATCTCAGGTCGTTTGCAGCGACCCCATTACCCCAAGTTGTCATGATGCGTATGTTACGTTACGTGCGTATCACGTTACATGGCATTTCAAGTTGCGCTGACTAATTAAACAAATCAAAAAAAGCTCTATAAACCTTTTACGCACACCGCATTTCCCATTTAGCATAACAAATGAATCCCTTTCTTTTGTGCCTTAATTTCCAGAATGAATTCTGAATCCGATGGTTTTTTAAACTTTAAAACAAAGCATCTACGCATATATTTGAATTTTATAAAGGTCATAAAATTTGGCATGTTAAACCGGTGACCATAAACAAAGTAGAGACACGATCACACTCAAGTTGCTATGTAAATTTTATTGTTGCCAATTAAGGATTTGAGTAACCTTGACCTATTCATATTGTTTAAAAAAAAATCCTCCATGTGTTGTTCAAAATCTGCATAGCATCAAAATGTTGCGCAAATGGCACAGATGGATCATCTGTCGTTCATCAATATCACGTATGCTTGTCTTTCAGACAGAACTTTACGATTAGTTAAAAAAAATCCTTTTTTTAGGAGCAGGAAGCATGATTCCGTTATATCATCGTTTTCGGTATTTGATGTAGCCGTTTTATTGTTGTTGGTTCCAAGGGTATTGAGTACCAGTAACGTAAGATTTATTATTTCTTTACTAAAAAATTAAGCTAGAGTTTTTACACGCTTTATATTTATGTAAACAGATTTATCTCTGAAACTACCAGTCCGATTAGCCTGTTTGAAAAAAAAAGTAAATATTAAAACGACGAAACCCTAGGCGCAAAGTAGTGACCACATCCGAGAGTGAAACTAGCTGACTCGGCTACGACACGATTTTTACCTTAAATTTTATTGTTAAGACGTTATTGTTCCTCTTTAACAACAACGTGTTAACTTCGTTTCCTTTTCTGTGTTCGGTCTCTTGAGAGTTAAGATGGTCACCTTTTTTTATGTTTCCATCATGATTCTTTGTCGGGGATATTGGTGAGGCCGTATTTTTAGTTAAATTGAGTATAAAGCACGGTGTGCCATACTGCGCTTGAAATGAGCATTAGGCATTTCTTTCATTGCTTTCCACTGAGTGTGTGAGGTAGTGAGGTAATCGGAGTTTAACCCCTCCAACATTCTGAGGAGAGAGGGCACTGAAAGGATGGCAACGCACTTGTGTCTCTAAATTTGCATGTGGCTATCGGCGGTGGTGGTCACTTGTCATCAGGTGACCCAACTGCTCGTTTGCCCAATTTACCATAATGGTCAGAGATAGTCATGTGTCATTCACACACTTATAGACGTCATAAGAAAAGAGACGTCACTACATATAAAAATGGAACAATGGATATTGTTGTCCTATTTTAGGACAAAAGATGTCCAGCGACCTATTGAAGACAATATATCTTGTCGCGAATGATTGGAGTTAATAGGAACTAAATGCGTTTGTAACTTTGTATGTAGATTGAATGAATTAACATGATAATCAATTAGGTATGAACTTTATTATGTACTTAGAAATAACATTAACGCTACGTTCTTCCTAGAATTATTTATTACATTCTCTCATCATTTTGTTAAATTAAATATTATTTTATTAGACACCTATTTGAATATTTAAATCAACTATTACTATTTCAAACGATGTATCTCTTCATAGGTTAGACATAAATGATAGGCTTCTCTGGTGGGTAGTTATTTACCTGCTTGAAAATGTAAGCAAGAAATATAAACAAAATAACGGGCGGGCGTAGTTTTGACCACCATTATTTAGACTTTATACTTTCCATTCCTACAGCATGATAGGTCAACATTTACGCTTACAGAACCTTTACATTTCTCCATATGACACATTGCAATGAAACAATGAAAAAAATACGTTTCTAAATCTACATAGATAACTATGACACTACATCCGGTAGATGCTTGAAACTAGGTAGAACCAACAGTTTCGTGAAGGACAACAAAAAGTAAGGAAGTAATTAAGTGCGTTTTGAGGAGCTAAACAGTCAACAGGTTTATCTCTCAGTTAAAGAAAAGGGGGCGAGGTATGAAAAAAGAAATCATCGTTAAGAAAAATGATTGTAAGACTATAAAAAAGAAAGGGATAGCAGTTCGTTTCAGGTTCGTTAGCAGGCTCGTTTTAGGAGCTCTTTTTTTTTTAAAGGACAACTCCCGCATAAGGAATATATCTTGTGTCACGGGGGACTTTACAAACATACATAAATCGGACACAAAGAACACCCAGACACAGAACAACAATTTGTGAATCACAATTTTTTTTGTCCCATGTGGAGATCGAACTCAACACACTCAGCGTAGTATTAAACGGCGTGGCGACCGCTTAAACCACTACGCCATCGCATTTTTTAGTTGGCTCTGCCTACACAAAATCTGGTGTATTCTAATGATGAAAAACAAAGTGTAACACAGTATGTGTAGATTTTATAAAGAGGGGATGGAATATAGAGAGGGAGGCAAACAAAGACAGAAAAGTAATAGGGCTTTATTTTCTCTCTTTAAACAAAGGGACAGGACATGGGAATGCCGCCACACACACACACTGATTTCACAAATTCCATAACAAATGTAGTATACTGATGTTTTTGTTCAAATAGTTTTAAATATACCTAAGATTATACAAGAATCTCTATTATTGGTAGCCTTGAAATGCCGAAGAACTAGTCCCAACGAAATCTAGTTATTTTGTATCATTGTTACACAAGATTTATAGGTAACAAATGTATAAATTATATTGTATGCCATATAATTCTTGATTGTATTATTAGTATCACCTTATAATTTATACCTTAGTATTAACATAGTGTGTCTATACCGTATACCTTGAAAAAGAAGCTATTAAAGGAAAGTATGATTTTAAATTCGTAGGCATCTAACTAAAATTAGATTCGCCATATTAACTGCAATTAAAATCTCTTTCTCCTCTATTAAAAAAGAGATATTTTTGATAGAGATCATATTCTATTTCTGTCTATATTATAGAGTTTTATGTATTATACAGTATATAGTAAGAAGTAGTTCCTAGGAAACCATACCATGTAATGTGAAAATGTAAAATCCATAAGATCGTACCCACCTACCAATACCTACATCCACATAAGTGTAACATTACATGAAAAATCATTACTATTGAGGATTTTTCTGATATCGACATCAAATAAGTAAAGTATTTATTTCATGAGCGCTGGATATTTTTAATTCAATGTTTACAAAGCATGTGTCTAATCTTTGTAGAGATAAACTCTAGCCCGACTAATAACCCGCGTGCATAGTGCATATGGTTTGAGAAAATGTTAGAACATAATAATGTTTACAATCAAAATAACACAGTCGAATAGTTACGTGTGACCTGAACTTTCTCCGGTTATGTGGAGTAGTTCACGCGCCAACACGTTACGTCATAAGATAAGCTGTATCATAACAAGATTAGATACAATAGTGTTTTTCAAAATATTGAGTGACTATAACATAATCGATAAACTGATTTTGTTAAGTTTCCCAAGGGAGTTATTACTGAATCGATAAGAGATTAGTGACAACCATATTTAGGACATAGATGTACAGGAAATATCGCTAGCGGACTTTAAACTCCTCGTCTTACCTGAACGTAGGATTATCGTAAAACTAGAAAATAACATTAAAAAATATAATTTCTAGAATCCCGTTGCAGGCCACCCGATAAATTGTGAATATTTCCCGATAGCAAAGTATTCATTCATAAAAAAAAACATCAAAGTCGGTCGCATGACTTAGGTGGAGTTAAGTGACGCGTACGATATATATAGGCACAAGTTATGCGTTTATGAATGTAGGAAATATTTTATAGAACTAAATTAGCAAAAGACAGTAGTGTTACTCGTACATCGTCAAGATTAAAAGAAACACTTCGGAACTATACGTCTTCTGTAGTCCTGATCACCCTGAACCATGGGCAACAGCAAACTTATTTCACACCTGTATTTAGCAAACAATAAATTTTAACGCGTCGTGAGTTTATAGAAGTACCAATTCAGTCGTAAAAAACAATATGATTTGCATAAAAATGTTGGACAAAATCGCAACTTAGGATAATATTATTTGCAGTACATGCATACATGCATTGCACAGGTACAGTAACATTCGTATGTATTTTTTGTATCAACTATACTATCTAATATTTTATATGTATGCTATCTTATTTTCAATTATATGATCTTTTGATCTTTGTTTGTGGGAGTTGCCACAATATTTTAAAAAAAGGAAAAAGGTACATGTTTCTCCGTTTTTAAAAGTCCTTGATATATATATATAAGATCTAACAGGGATGTGTAATATGTCCTGGGATATTATTGTAGTTAAAGAAATATAGAATATGATATGAATTATTTATTATTTATATTTATTATGTGCTTTCTGTGCACATAATAAACGTAAAATATTCAAGTCACAATATTATGTCACCAATTCTTAACCAACTTTTTTTTAATACTTATTCATTCAAGGTAATATTGTTATCTAATAATTGAAAGCTATCTTTAGTAGTATAAGTAACTTTGATGATTGGCCAATATTATCAGCAATTCAAAAATGAACAAATAAATTATCAATTTGAAGTTATACACATACCTAATATGCATTATACTTTATCGATACCACTCATAGATGGCTTTATTACCATACATGTATACCAGTGATTGTTATTGCTAGTGATACTTTATGTTTATGTTCACTTCAACACACTCAAAGTTAGACATTTGATAGTTACTTATGGTGGGTGAGTTAGAATAAAAAATAGACTATGTACTAGCTTATCAATGACTTCCAAATCTATCAGTTACTCAGACAGAGTATAAGGGACAATAAAAATTAGGGATTAACTATAAGTAATTTTTGAGAATATATTTCAATTTAAAGTTTTGTAATTAATATAATAAAGGCCTTCTTCTATCGATGACATGTATATGATGTCTGGAGAGATATAAAACATAAGAAAATATTATAGCTTCTCAACATTGAAAGGTTATAATAAATATTATTTATATATAAACAAACCAAGAAGCATTTTCAAAAAAAAATTTGAAAAAAAAAAACAGCTTTAAATATTCTTGATTCCATTTCAGTTTTTACTTAACGCACATGCATCAATATGAATGAAAATGGAAGTTACTATTTGAAAACAAAGACACAAAGTTTGTTTGTTATCTACTTTTTAAACGTGTGACACAGCATACTTTTGTTAACTAATAATATTAACTTTTTATTTTTAAATATCTTGATACCTCTGACACTGATTGTGAAACAGAAAGATTATGACATCTGTTTTTTTTCTTAAACTCAACCAGTTGTGTTTTACAGATATTACAATCATAATAAATAATTTTAATGTAAACCAACAGATGCTTATTATCAGACTAGACTTGAAAACTTGAAATTTTTAGATTTGTTATAAACACACAAAGTATATGTAGATATTTAAAGTTTCTTAGGTTAAATAATGGTTACAAAACTAATCTTAATTTCTCATATTGACAGCAATTTTATACAATAATAATAGTTACAACCTCCTTTCTCAGTAAAGGCCTATGTGATGATGAAAATATTAGTTACAATGGTTTTTACAAATTAAGAAATATTGTATTATAAGGAGAAGGACAACAAAATTATTTATATGTTAATAGATATTTTAAGCAAACTTTAACACTGGCTGACGCTAAAATATTTTATCAATGTGTTATAAAGTAAAAAAGTATGTGTAAACAGGTTTGAAAAGCTACAGGGTTCCAGTAAATACATACCTATATTGACCTGTTAAGGTGTCAAAAGATTATAAGATAAACTAAATAAAATATAAAGCTTAATTATATTTGTAGTTTTCCACCAGTCAACCTCAACCGTATATTAAATTGGTGGATGGACATTTACATTTTGTTCTGATGTCTAGTTAACATAAAATTAAGAACTTATGATCCTTTTATTATGAAAGGGGTTTTGCCATGGAGTCTTTGTGATGTAATATTATTTATCAGGGCAGTCAAAAGTTAGCACTTAATGTCTGAAAAGAAGGAGAAGAAAAAGGCAAGGACAAGAACAAGAAAAGAAAACCACAGTTTTATAATCTGTGTGGGGTGCAGAGAATAGAACAAGCAGGTTACACATAAAAAGTTATGCTTCTCTATACCTTTAGCATGACACACTTATTTTATTGGTGAAATTTCATTTGGATATTCAAATTCACATGAAAATTATTTCATATTAAAATTATATACAAGTCAATTTCTTTTCAAGATATGTTTATAGTAGGTATTTAGATAAGTTTTCTAGATAGGATAGGAATTGTTATGCATTGAATATGAATGACGATTTTTTTCTTAGTGTGTCAGTACTATCTCATCTGTGAAAGTTTTTTTATATTTAAAGTATTTTACAATTAACATTACATAAACACCATAGAAGTTTTATCTTGTTCTACTTTGTCACCTAAATAATATAATTACTTCATCAAACAGTATTGTATTAGTATTAATGATATCACAATTGCTGCCCTGCCAGTAATTAAATGATCTATTTTTGTTAACAACGAGCATGTGGTAAGATTCAAATAAAGTGTTTGCACATTTCTGTAATTCAGCTATTTGTATACATTATAGTACATTTACAAACTAACAAACATAATTTATTATTTATTCAATTAGTAAACTTTCCAGTGGTATGGAATTCAAAACTGTTTGGCGTGACTCGCAATGCAAAAACTGCAACCAAATATCGACAAACTAGTAAATAATAACACATCAATTACCTTGTAAAGAAATGTCGAATGATTGTGGCTCGGCGAGTTCACCAATGGTTGTGGAGTTACCGGCCTCGAGCTCCCAGACAAACATTGTGATGAGGCCGAGAGCCTTGTCCCAACGATCTTCTGACACGCTGTAAAATAACAGAAATAATCACTATGTAATCACCGCACAACACAAAAACTTTCACAATTTGATATCTAAAAAACCGTATTTCAAAGTCGTAAATAATGTTTACAACTAATTTTCACGCACATTCAAATTTTGCCGATTTCCTACGATCACGTTCTTCTGCTCTTTGTATATTGTAGCATGAGCTGCGACGTCTCAAACTTGACATAGGCGACATATTAGACTTAAAAATAAGTGTTTTTTCCATACTTCCATTCAGAATACGATCAAAAATAAACGAAATACAACACAAACGACGCTATTTAAACGTCAAAAAATGTAAACAACGCGACGTCGCGTCAAAACTAAGAAAACCGAATGAACCGACCGAACGGTACGGCGCGGCGCTCGACTGGCTGGGGGCCAGTGTTGCCACTACGTGCTACAGATCACCCCGCAAAGCAATCGACATCTACAACACAATAGCCATTAAGTAAACTTTTAGTCTCATCACGTCGCTTGTAATGGCGATTTAGACAAAACTACTCGTTTTATAATGTCACAAGTCTGCCGTAATATATATTGATAATAGCTACGCAAACCTTTGCAAGGAAAACAAATAATTCATAGGTATATATTTTTTTATCGACATTATTTATCAGATATATCATTCTCTAAATTGATAAATGCTCACGTGGCAAGACGTTTATTACATTTAAGCAAGATAACGCTGTGCTAAAACAACTCGAATCACGTGTCAACTACACATTTTGTCGAAATACTTTAGACAAAATACGTCTTGAGATATTTTATCGGATCATCTTCTCAGTTTTTCAAGTCAACTGCGGAATAAGTCACTTTTTTATATATTTGCAAATTAAAAAGTAAACGTTTTTACGTTGTTTACTCAAATACAGTAATATAATCGCAACACCGCTTTATGTAAATTAAAAACGGTAGTGACATTCCAAAAAAGTTGTCGTAGAAAAAAAACAAAGTAAGCTGACATCATCTACCATAAATATTCAATGTTCGTTTTAATAAATCGTTACACTTACCGTCTTGGAAGACTCGCTCCACGTTTAGGCCGTACGTAGCACAAGTCTCATAGTAAGAACATCTCCGCAGCTCATTCGACAACTTACGAGCGCGGTTATCGTCTACCACGCGTGGACTACTTTCACTTATGGCATCTGGAAGAATAACCAATCATTTAATAGGAAATAATCGACGTGCTAGTACTTGTTAGTACTTATTGAGACGTTTTTCTTAGTATTTAATGATTTCACCATCCATCGAGTTGCTGGGCATAAAGAGCCTTACTTATTGCAAGATTAAAAATCCTTCAAATTCAATTTATTCTCGTTAAGTGCTGAATTTACAAGTATGTTAATTATTATTTATATATCTTTCTGTAAGTATATGGACTAAAAAATACTATCTCAATTTACATGATACTCATTTTAATTATATTTAAATGGCAAATAAACATTTGGCTAGCACGCAGCAAAAAAAGTATTTTATTACGTGAGGTGACCCTTTTACTTTCTGCCATCAATTTTATAGCGAATAACTGCATCAAAAGCTTATAATTTAAATCTACAAGTATAAAAATAGTAAACTTAAGGGGTTTTATTATTTATTTTAATGGCATGCTAGAAGTTACTAAACTAGGTAGTCATTTCAATGTTGATCAGTTATTAATTTCATGTTTAAGTGTATTATAGTTCTAAGTACACTACTATAAGTAATTCTAAATAAATCTTTGATTAAATCTACTGATATTTCATACCTAGTGAGAGACCATGTCACCAAAATATTATTGAATACTATTGAGAAGGCACATACTTTGTAATTAAAGAGTAAAAAGAGTGAGACACAAACAATGAACGTCTAAATTACATTACGGAAGGGACGAATATTAAAAAAGGCGGCAACCACTATAAACCCACCTTGGGTCCCGACCAATATGATTGGAATCTCCGCGGAATTCCTATAATGGGACATTTTATTGAAGTAGTTCGAAACCGTATTATAGCTGATCTCGTTTTCCAGGCTGAACACGAAGATTACGGCGTCCACCCAAGCCGTAAACTGTAACAAAAGAGACACATTAAATAATCATATTCACGAATAACATCTAGGCCTCTTGTACAAGTATGTACTACAAACTGATACACAAGGAAATGAGCAGAGTGGTACAAAATATTACAGTTTTATGATATAGGTATTTGTATGTAAATATCCTATATAGCGATGTATTAATATTATAAGTACCTATCTATAAAAATATTCTCTCGTCGAGTCCTCCTCAAGACCTTGGCATGCTCATAAACATCAATAATAATTATAAGACTCGAATGAGTGCTAATATTTTTGTAATTTTGTGTACGAATATTGTACAGAATGTTTTAGATTTAAATTTCTTATTTAGAAGCCAAAAGTTAAGAAAATAAAATACATATACGAAACACTATGTCTTTTCTTTCCAAAAAATAATTATTAAGTCACAATGCAAAGTAAACACAATAATCCGTGTTAAGAAGTCGACAACCTACACTATGGTAATCCAATATTTTAACATGAAACTATTTATAGGGTAAGCCATTGCAAATATCGCATAAAGAAAAAACACCCTACGCGAGGACTCATATAATAATTACAGGGGGTAAATATTACGCAGTCGCAAAAGGGTTAAAAATAAAAGGGTTATGTGATACTTGCTTCTGCAAACGTAACATGTAAGGTAAATTAAGTAATGTGTATAATACTAGACGGTGAAAGAAGTAAGCAATCTCTTCCTAAATCGTATAGTTATATATTAACAACTACGAATTTTAAACAAGTTATGTCCGTGCTCCTTCTCTAGCTGCGTTTGTGTAAATTAACTTTTTCGTCCAACATAATCATATCTTATTTTAATCCGGAAAAAAATCCGGAAAACAGCCGCAACGAAAAAACAACAGAGGTTTTTTTTTTAATTTTTGTGTATATCGTGTAATCATCCCAGAAACAGACACTTTAAATATATTAATTTCTGCAGATATCAAAGTACAAATGAATGATACCTATGTACTTACAGATATCCCGTAGGTATGTTTTTGCTTAGACACGTGTTTAAGTGATAAATATTAGGTTTTCTAAACCAGCCTAGGGTCTTCCTAGTACACTATAAACAGAATGCAAAATATGTGACTAACTCATCTTCCAGTGAGTAGAAGGGTGTCACCCCTCTACTCTGACAACAATCGCCGATTCAAGAAGTGTCATCCGAGGACAGAGTGCGTGACTGTGATGCGAGAGGAAAAATCTTGGCAAAACCCTCTACACTCTTCAGAGAACCAAGTTCTTTTGTCTCGCTTGCAAGCATTTAGTATGGTTTAAAAAAAGTATTAAGCACTTCATACTTTGCTTAGTTAATTTTAAGTAATATGTCTAATTTTAAATTTTTATATATTTTTTACTATGCAGAGACAGTACTGTGGTAAGAAAACTGCTGATAAGCTTATATATAAACTAAGTAAATAAACGTTTTAATGAATTATATTAAAAACAATATATGAAGTCTATTACTAGACTAGACTACTACAAGTCCGTCCGGCCGTTTGAAACACTTTATCAATGCAAAAGTTCATTTCTTTGTGTACTTGTTTGTTACGCTTCGCATCTTAAATACTAGACCGATCACCGTGTAATTTATATGTATAAGTTTATTTTCTCACCATAATTACAGGATTTACATATAGATACATATTGAACGAAAATAAAGGGACTATGGTGGGTTGCTACCTGAACTAGGAATGTTCCTGTATCTCAGGTTATCAACCATCCACCCCATATACACAGCTGTCTAAAGTAGAACCTTAAAATTTAAATACATACGAATCACTAGTTTATTATTTCGTTTATCATAGGTACTAAAAGGGATATTTGGCAAAGGTTCACTGTCTCAAGGGATTCCCGAGTTGACTGTCGGATAACAGGATAAGATTTAATTTTAAGACACAACTGAAATAAAATAATCGTCCTAAGTCTTTTATATAGGGAAAAAAATACTGTAATAAGTCAAAGCCACGATAATATACCTATATAATTCGAAGAAGACGAAGATAAAGCAGAATAAGTCAGTATTAACGACCGCAAAATTTATTATGTTTAAGGAATCGTTATCTGTATCTGCATCTAATCGAAATATCATAGAAAGCTGATTTAGAATAATAAACTGACTAATCGAGGCTCAGTTTGATGAGATATCAATTACTATAAATGTCAACCGAATAAAGGCTTACGAGTCGATCGCATGTCGTAATGAAATCATAATCCGTGAAATGTGGAAGCAAATGCTGTTGCGACCAACCCGCAAAATATAAAAAATAATTTAAACGACGCGTGAAATTGTACGGTTGATGACATGTTTAACATATCACACAGCCTTAAATTTCAAAATATTAAAAAACGCATTTTGTAAAAGATATTTGTATATCTAGTATATAACTTACACAGAATGCAATTTGGCATCGAGGACTTGCACTAGGAAAACTATTAGCGATTGACAACGAATACACGATACCTGTACATAAATTTGACTTTAAATAGTATATGTCACAGCTTACATACTACAATATTTAATTTTAAAACATGACACACAAGTTATTTCAATAATAATAAATATTGACAACAGAAATCTTACCCATCGATTAAAGCACTTATTAATTCGGCAATATTAGACTGACTAAATCATTGATTTAAACTGTAATCAACTTTCTAATTTAATATTACAGTGCAATGACATTAAAAATGTTGACCAGATGTAAGGCCGCCGTGTATTCAGGGCGGCGCATTGAGGGTAACTGGGCGGGCGGGCGTCTCCTAGGTTGGGCGGCGCAGCCTTCGTTTATTTCTATTTCCCTCCCACACACTGTACGCCTTTTGTAGAAAGAGACAAGATCACTTAGTGCAATTCAATGCAACCGCCTGCAAGCCTTTTGTTGGCTTGGAGTTGTTCTATGTTAGGATTAGCACAACAGATAATTAAACAATAGCGATTAGAAATAATGCATGGTTTACATAACCGTCTCTTTGTATATTATTAAGTTATTTCTAATCATCATTTAAACATTATATTTATTTCACATCAATATTTCCATGACATAATTGTGTTAAGTTTATATTGTTACACCATTACTCATAATAGATTAGTCAGGTTAGGGTTAGGTTAACTTGGATATTCTTTTGAAACAATAAGAAACAATCCTCTTTATTTAAAATAGCAGTTACAATAGTTAAAACATAATGTGTTTATTTACATTTTTAGTTATTTGATTTACACTTTTTTACAAATTAAAGAATAATCCTCAAATGAAAATTATCAATTAAGAATTGCATTTTGTTTTATTTTTGAAATTTAACAAATATTTTGCAAATATTTTTTAAATTTCTGGGGTCGTGGGTGAACGGACTGTAAGCTGAAATTTCTAGACTTAGGGACTTAGTTATTACAGACGGTTAAGTTCATTGGAGTCCGTTGAATGCCCCCGTTGCAAGGACAACAGGTGATAAAAAATTATATTTTTATGGCATACGAAGAAGTACCTAATTTAGTAAAGAGGATGCTGAAATTGCATCCTCTCTTACTAAATACTATGGTAAACTTTTAGCTTTTACGTGCGTATTACAAACACAGCTTTTACGTACGTATCGTGTGTAAAAAACAGCATATTGCACTTTCATCTTCTATAGAAACTAGTTTATGAGTAAATTAATCATAGGGAAGTAATCGAACGCAAAGTTGCACCACTTGTGCAAATGTAGCCAGTGAAAAAGTAATTTAAAATTACCCACAATTTTGGTAAAATGTATTAGGTTAAGTAAAAAAATATTGTAATTGCTATTAATTATTAGCAACAAGATAAATTTATTCGGTTTAAAACATTGTTCCGGGACGCACTATAGGACAATACGAGTATCACTGTTAGAAAATTTTCGCTTTTATTCAGCACATATCTCTCTTTATCATTTGAGGCCAATGTACCATAAAAAGAGGTTCGTACGTCCGCAAATCATCATGATAACATATCCGGTTGAATTTAAGCTACAGAAACGATGCAAACAAGTTTACATTAAAATCGAGATATTGCGTAACTAAGGTATAATCAATTAAAATATTCAGGAACTCTTTAAAATTTTAATGCTGATTCGTCCCCGATAATTTGTATTTTGTTTTGTAGATCTTTTTAGTTCTTTGTGTACAGCAAGCAACATAACTTAGCGTACGTTCAATGAAAGGTATCAAGGCTCTTTTACAAAACAGGTTTACAAACCTCTTCATAGCCATGGTACGCCGACCGACCGTCCCAAAATAAATACGAACAATAGGGTCTATTAATACAGGGCTGTTAGCTCTGTTTCTTAGAAAATTAGTTATTTCATTAAATAATTTTAGCTACAATTCCTGCAAATAGGTATATTGTTAGGTTAATCTTACATTTTTATTAATACTTGTTACTAGTTTATTAATTTATCAAAAAATGCACAATGCTCAAACAACATGATTAATGTGAATTTACATTTTAAAATATAATTTAAGCTTGTAATGTATCTGCCTCATTGTCATGGATATCAACCCTCGGTACATTGTAGTTACACCAGTTTTTTTTAAAAGTATGAATAGGAAAGTGAATAGCGCGGGCCAGGTAACTCGATCTTCGGACGTGACCCGCTCTCGCCTACATTGTTCGTGCTATGCGATACTTTAGCTGGACTGCGCATCAATCACTTGGTGAAATGTATCGTCGAAAAGTTAAGAAAGACAAAGTGAAAACAGTCCATTCTTCTTTTAAGTTACATATACAAGGGTTAAAAAATCTAAATCTAAGAATGAAAGATCGCAGCATACGTTTTTAAATTTAGTCTACAATTCACCAAACTACAGTTTTTGACACTGTGAGTTAATAATTCAACTTTGGAATGAGCTCTGGATTCAAGAGGGTAACTACGTGTCTAGGTACAAAGTTAAATGAACGTTCTTTAAAGAGGTTAAATCGATTCAACTCCGATGGAATACATTTGTACTACATGCGAGATGAGAGTCATAA